AACCCATTTAATCTAGAACGCTCGAGAATTACAACGCCATCTATTGAGAAATGGCGGAAACGCATAACGAAAATACTCGACTTGTGAGGAATGTTCTCGATAATCCTAGGGATGTCGTATCGACTATAAAAGCGTTGCAGTGATGACACGAAGGTAGTGAGTAATCGGAACTACTCGAAGCGAAACAGCGAACGGATCACCTGAAGCGAAGTGAAAGAAGGGAATTAAGAATTTTAAAGCGTTCTGTGAGCGTTCTAAGTGTTAAAACAATGTTAATTTGTACTTCGATAGAATTTTTATTTATCCCGAACCCTAGCGCGTAAGAATACGATATATCGCACCTTTAGGATCAAAGTGGCCCCATCCAAGTGGGGTAGCCGTTGTTACTATACTGAGACCTTAGAACTTATATCTCAAGTTGGGTCGCGCATTTACGTTGTGGATGTCTATGTGCTCCAGCTACCACTCAACACCAGGTGGGCTATGAGCTCGTCCATAAATAAAAAAGGGGCATCAAAATCGGTTCACACGCAAAAAAAGTTAAATTGAGAACCTCCTTCTTTTTTGAAGTCGGATAAAAAGTGTATTGCTCCTAACTGTATAGAAACTGTGTTTTATTTATTAAAGCGGTCGCCAAGGAGGGTTCGCGACGAACAAAGACAAGGACTGTTCCATAAGGCCACGCACACTTGTCAGACATTAAAACAAATACCATGTAGAATACGCTACCAAACTTACACCGGCGAAGGCTGTGTAAACAAACGGAGCCTCTGGGTCTGCGGAGGGACTTCGGTTCCCTCTGTATTTTGTACCGCATGTTCCATGTGGAGTGCTCTGAGGAATTGTTCGAGATGATACCAACGTCTCGTTTTTACCATCGCACCGCCCGCCACCGGAGTAGAGTTCATCCATACTACCTGGAGCCACTGCGGTCATCCACAGTGCGTTTCCAGAGATCTTTTTTGCCACGTACCATCCGGCTATGGAATGAGCTCCCCTCCACGGTGTTTCCCGAGCGCTATGACATNTGGGACAGAGAGAGAGAGAGAGAGAGAATTCATGACATAGTCAGCGTATGGTGAGTAATCGTGCAGAGATCTCGCAGCACGACACGATGACTGTAACGAGACGTCTTGACTCTTCCTAAGTTAGGCAACGAAAGTGAGCGACGACACCTCGACTCTGTCGAAGCGCGTCACCCGAAGTGAGCCGATGTTTGACGAGTAATTGCGGGTCGCATCCACTAGGTGGCGCGCTTTCGCTTCGTTTTGTAGTGTCCGGATGCGACATCTAGATTTTTGTTCGTAAAACTACATAGCATTTTTGTCGTCGTCGTGGCCTAAAGGATAAGACGTCCGGTGCATTCGTGTTGAAGCAATGCAACGGCGTTCGAATCCCGCAGGCGGGTGCCAAGTTTTCTAATGAAATACGTACTCAACAAATGTTCACGATTGACTTCCACGGTGAAGGATTAACATCGTGTAATAAAAAGCAAACCCGCAAAATTATAATTTGCGTAATACTGGTGGTAGGACCTCTTGTGAGTCCGCGCGGGTAGGTACCACCACCCCGTCTATTTCTGCCGTGAAGCAGTAATGCGTTTCGGTTTGAAGGGTGGGGCAGCCGTTGTAACTATACTGAGACCTCAGAACTTATATCTCAAGGTGTGTGGCGCATTTACGTTGTAGATGTCTATGGGCTCCAGTAACCACTTAACACCAGCTGTAAGCTCGTCCACTACATAAGCAATAAAAAAAAACAGTTATTCATTTATGTACTGTAGGAATCCGCAAGCAATTTAATGACATAGTAACGAGATACGATACGTGTGCACTAATTACAGATCCCGCATAATTGCTATGTGGTAAAAATATTTACATAATATTATGTACAGAGAAATACCTAGTCGGATTTTGATCTAAATTTAAAACAATTTTCTCGTTGATATCACTCGTCACCGGGGTTAATTTTATTCCTATCATAAAAACCATCAAGTGGTACGAAATAATCTAATTTTAACTTAATAAAAAAAAAAGAACGGACTTCAACAAGATAAAATGAGAATACTGTTACGCCGAATAGAAGAAACGAATATCAAAAGACCCCATTTAATTTAGAACGCTCGAGAATTACAACGCCATCTATTGAGAAATGGCGGAAACGCATAACGAAAATACTCGACTTGTGAGGAATGTTCTCGATAATCCTAGGGATGTCGTATCGACTATAAAAGCGTTGCAGTGATGACACGGAGGCAGTTAATGTCAATACAGTGTTAATTTGTACTTCCGTACGTTTTATTTATTTATCCCGAACCCCAGCGCGTAACAATACGATATTATTATATCGCCTAATCTAAGCCTCAGCTCGCGAACTATGGAGAACAGCTGTCAAGACTTTATTAAATGAGGATTCCACTTGTCCAAAACTGCTCTGCCAAGAGCAACCGACTATGATGAATCTATAATACTTGTTTTTTGGTAAAAATCAAAAATGTAATTGAAGAATTGTATTTTTTTTTTAGTTTTTGCGGAAGACGGAGACTGAAAGAGTACTTTGTCCTTTTCTAGACTAACAGAGACTGTTTTATAAAGAAGTTAGTTAGAATACACGTTTTGAAGTCGTTCATAGTATAATAAACATTTTCTTAAAAAAAAATATTAAGATACTTCAGTTCTACTGTGTAATATATATAATATATATAAATATGTTGTGGAAGTCAATTAAATTTGCATTATTAAGAATAACTCAAAAACCACCAGTCAGATCTTGATAAAATTTAATATTAACCCTATGAGCTCCAGCTATCAAATAAACTGGTGGTAGAACCTGTTGTGAGTCCGCACGGGTAGGCACCACCGCCCTGCCTATTTCTGCCCAGAAGCAGCAATGCCTTTCGGTTTGAAGGGTGGGGTAGCCGTTGTTACTATACTGAGACCTTAGAACTTATATCTCAAGGTGGGTCGCGCATTTACGTTGTGGATGTCTATGTGCTCCAGCTACCACTCAACACCAGGTGAGCTATGAGCTCGCCCATAAATAAAAAAGGGGCATCAAAATCGGTTTACACGCAAAAAAGTCTAATTGAGTACCTCCTTCTTTCTTGAAGTCGGATAAAAAGTGTACTGCTCCTAACTGTATAGAAACTGTGTTTTATTTATTAAAGCGGTCGCCAAGGAGGGTTCGCGACGAACAAAGACAAGGACTGTTCCATAAAGCCACGCACACTTGTTAGACATTAAAACAAATACCATGTATAATACGCTACCAAACTTACACCAGTGAAGGCTGTGTAAGCAAACGTGATTTTATAAACTCTATTCATTTTACCTATGTTTTTGGAACGAAGTTCCTTATCGCGCGTTGTGAAAGGGGGCTAGACGGAAAAAATTCTTACGAAAAGTTGTCACGACACTTTTTAGATCCGTCATTCTGACCAATCAACGTGTAGGCGCTTATCGCGTGACATTGCTCGTATCCGATTGGTCCGCGTAATGAGTACAGTTTCTCGAGATAGCGTTTCAACAATGGTAATTTAGTTCATAGTATTGTTTTTTTTCCCTTCATAATGCCGTAATTTATTATTATAACTTAAAAAAAAAAATACAATTCCTTCACTAATTAATCGAAAGGAACTTCGTTCCATCCGGGTGTCCCTTGACACCTCTGAAGTTTTTTATTTAAATCGATGGACTGGCTGTTTAGTTATAAGCGAAACTTGTAGAGATCGCAATATAAGTTACGCCATCCCCCATGAGATTAGAATTAGGTCTCATTAAAATAGGTAAGAAGGTTTGCCGTAGGTGGAAGATGAAAATTCGATTAATATTGAAAAAGCATCAATAGGCAGAAAGCGATCACTTCCAGACAACCTTTTATACATAGAGTACTTAGCTCTGAATGAGATACAGCATTATGATGTGGCAGTGGACTATCTATATATTAATACGTGAAGCAAAAACTTAGTACCCCTTCTTACGATAATGCCACGGACGGAGGAGTATGAAATTACCCACACTTACATAGAATATAGAGGAGTGTAGAATGCTATATTTTTTTATTATGCATAAAAAATACATTAAATCAATAAAAAAAACATGACGCCCATTACTATGTATTTGACACAACACTTAACTTTTTAGTTTATTGTCAAAATTTTATTATTGTTTTTAAGTCTGTGGTCAACTTGAGAACAAGATTAATACATATTGTTTGTCTTTAATATTATTTGCCTATAGTTAGCCAATTTTGTGATTAAATCAGTAAAGTATTTGACAATAGAACCATATTCATTGTCAAACTTATAATTTCAATTCATTATGGTCGCATTTAGACTATCAGGCGACTACTGCCTATTAATAATAATTTTCGAAAGGATCTATCATAAAATAGACCAAACTGTTACTATATTTATTAATTAAAAAATAAATCTGTACCGAAAATATTTTGTACATATAACATTAAATATATACATATGGAACTAAATAATATGTAGATACATACACGGCCGTCTGGTGTAGTGGTAAGTGACATGGTCACTACACAAGGGGGTCGCGGGTTCGAATCCCGCCAAGGGAAGATATTTGTATGATAAATATAAATGTCTTTTCCAGGGTTATGGATGTATATTAAATATATGTATGTGTATAATAAAAATGTTACATTTATATCCGTTATCTGGTACCTGTAACACAAGTTCTTTACGAACTTATCACGGGACCAGTTAACGTGGCGTGATTGTTAGTAAAAATGGGCAGACGAACTCATCGTTACATATAACAATTAGACCACATATTATGTACATACCTATACCTATATGTACATGTACATACCTATGTACATACCTATATACACACATAATTAAAAAATAATTTAAAAATATAAGCTTTACCATCCACTAAAACTAATCGGTCCTCTCCTCAAGAATCATAGTGTGCCTAATCATTTAGCGCTCAACTGGATCTGAAAGTGGAGGAACTTATGATGATTTTTGTTCTCAGTCGGACGATCGCGACCGATTCGCAGGATACAAGGGGGTCAGAGACATAACAGTGAAAAAGGTATGCTATATTTTTTAATCTATACTCGAAATTAGTAACAAGATTGTGGCTAGACATTTGGACTGTTTTGTATCAAGAATGCTTTTGCTTCAGAAACATGTTTTTCGTTTTCCAGGGTCCAGCGGGGCTGGGCATCATGATAATCGAAGGTCGTCACACGGAGGCTGGCCGTGGGATATTCGTGTCCGATCTTCAAGAGGGAAGCGCTGCTGAGCAGGTCCTTATTGATGTCAAAGTTTTTGAATTTGAAAGTTTGTTATGACCTAAATGATAAGTCGGTTGATGTACTCGTATTCACCAAATTCACCAAATTCACTAATTTAGAGTAATAAAAACACTTTAGAGATCTTAATTCTTATCAGGAAACCCATTCCTTAAAATCCTGAAGTCTCAGGACATTAAGGCGAAGAACATATTGCTGGTGAAAAACTTGGGACTGGTTGGTCTTACCATCATGCGTCATTTTAAAGAGCTCATGATCCTCTTCGCATTCATCCCCATTATGGTTAAAACGGTGAAAGTTAAGGATCCAGGATTCCAGGAGTTGGTAAAGCTGGAAAAGACGTGGTTACATATAGTTAGTTTACCCATAACACCTGCAACAGCGCCGAATTATCACGTAATCAATACATAAAAGTAAATTTCGTGATTTTTTTTATTTTCCTACCTAAGCTGATGGCCTTGAGTGGCCATTTCAGCGTAACCCTAACAAGTAGGTGAGCTCATGAGGCTCAAACCTGACGAAGTTGCCAAACTTAACCCTAGCAAGAGCAGTACTTCGCAGCATCTACCACCATACTGGAAACGCGACCCATTGAGAAGATCTGGCGAGAAACTCAGTGGGCTGTTTCTATGGGTTAATTTACTTGCCGAGCCTTTTCCGCCTTCGTGCTAAGTTCACGCCGGATTATCTCAGCAGGTTGCGATTCCCATCCAGTGGTAAATACGGGGAAGCACTGCTCTTTTCTCTCAGGCTGAGCCCCGTGAGCTCTCCTACCACAATAGTCCCACGAAGCTACTGGCTACTGAAATTTTTTTTACATATGAACTATAATAGTAAATGATGAATTTGCAGGCGGGACTTCAGATAGGAGACATGCTTCTTGCCGTGAACAGGGATTCCTTATTGAACTGCAGCTACGATTCGGTGAGTGAGGAAAATGATTGACTGAAAAATTGATTGATTGACTTAAAAGAAGAAATCCTGATAAGTATAGCAAACCGAACTAAAAAAAAAATTGTTTTTTTATGTGCTTATATTTATGGACGAACTCACGGCCCACCTAATGTTAAGTGGTTACCGGAGCCCATAAACATCTACAACGTAAAGCCCGAACTCACCTTGAGATATGAGTTCTAAGGTCTCACTATAGTTATTTCCCTGTTCATATCAGTCTGGGTATAAGGGCGAAGTTACCAAAATGTATCTTCATCGGTCCCTGGTACGCGTTCAAATTTTTAAGCTCGGACAGACGAGACGTGTTCAAGTCGGTGAAAATTACCTTCAAATATAATGGAGATTACGCCGAAGAGAAGATCTTCCACCGAACGGGTGTAATTGCTCGGTAGACCGACGGTCCGAATGTTGTTGTTCGTAACTTGTATGTATGCAAGCTTACCTTGAAAATGTCGTAGATTCAGGCATCTGTCAAATATCTTGTGTTGCATGATAGCTACCGTCACACACACAAGCAATACATACATTATACCAACCTAATAAAATCGTGCTAAAACCGCACTTAAATCAAGTGTTCGCAGCTTCATTCATAAATAGAATAAGCTTTTGAGACGATTAATATGAATTCGATAGACATGTTAAGTGTGATGATCATGGCGTAGCTAATCCTAGAGGAGCCTACTATCCTTTATTAATTGGTTATCTATAAAATTGGCTTACAGACGATAGNACACAAGCAATACATACATTATACCAACCTAATAAAATCGTGCTAAAACCGCACTTAAATCAAGTGTTCGCAGCTTCATTCATAAATAGAATAAGCTTTTGAGACGATTAATATGAATTCGATAGACATGTTAAGTGTGATGATCATGGCGTAGCTAATCCTAGAGGAGCCTACTATCCTTTATTAATTGGTTATCTATCAAATTGGCTTACAGACGATAGTTTTACGTGATAACGTCGGTAGTAGAATTATTCGAACTGCTAGCTCTGTCGTCATGCGAGAAGAGAGATAAATAATAATAATAATAAATATTTTACTAACAATCACGCCACGTTAACTGGTCCCGTGATAAGTTCGTAAAGACCTTGTGTTACAGGTACCAGATAACAGATATAAATGTAAGATTTTTATTATACACATACATATATTTAATATACATCCATAACCCTGGAATAGACATTTATATTTATCATACAAATATCTTCCCTTGGCGGGATTCGAACCCGCGACCCCCTTGTGTAGTGACCATGTCACTTACCACTACACCAGACGGCCGTTATAATGTGTCACAATTGAGCCGATCGTGCCTTTCTACCGTTTGATCCGCGCTCTCGCTCGCACATACACGCTCAGGCGGAACGTGACACTTTTTCGTGCGTGCAGCCGTTGATCGATTTATAAAACGTTATCACATCAAAAGTTAAATTTTGTTTTGACCAGGCGGCATCGAAACTGAAACAGGCTGAGGGCGTCGTGATCCTAACGGTCTGCAGTCCCAACATGAAGGATGCGCCGGACAAAGAAGACGGTTCCACTGCCGCCACCACGCCTGGTACTCCAGCCCCTGGTTCTAGTAAGCACATATTATTAGCCCATAGACATAGTCAATGCCACTGTCCATTGAGGCATGAGGTCGAAGCTTTGATTGTAAACGACTGTCCGATTCTTGAAATCAGCACGCGTAACAATTGACAAGCATAAAGATGCGGGCATGCGATATGCACTGCATAGTTAGTAACTACACGAATATATTGATTTTGCATGTATGATATTTATACATTACCCTACTCTGACTACGCGCTTGCATCACTACCGGCGTGAACTGCAGTAAATCGGGTGGACGAGCTCACGGCCCACCTATTCTTCAACGATTGCTGGAGTCCATGGATATTAACAACGCAAATTCCGCCACCCATCTTGAGAGTTGAGTTCTAAGTCTCAGCTTTACAGATAAAGGCTCCGCCAGCCTTCAAACCGAAACGCATTACTGCTGGAAATAGGCAGTGTGGTGGTACCTACCCTTGTGGACTCACAAGACACCATACCACCAGTGTAAGGGCTTGAAAACATAATAGACAGAGCTGCTTTAGTATTCATATGGTAAACAGTCGACGTCGCCCTAAACACGTCATTTCGGATCCTGTCGATCTACAAACGGAGCTTTTAGGTACCTCAGACGCTGGTCATCATTCTCGTCCAACCCGTCGTTTGCGACGAAAGGCTCGGCGTGTAAATTAGCCTTCAGACACAGCTCACTGAGTTTCTCGCCGGATCTTCTCAGTGGGTCGCATTTACGATCCGGTGGTAGATTCTGCGAAGCACGGCTCTTGCTAGGGCTAGTGTTAGCAACGTCACCAGGTTAGAGCTCCGTGAGCTCATCTACTTGCTCGGTTACACTGGCATAGTCCTCTAAGATTACCAGCTTAGGTAGAAAAAACAAGCATCCATAATAATAATAACCACTGATGCTTCTTCGTCATCATCATCACTAAAAGCCCTTCGTTAATTTCAGCACCAACATTAGCGAGTGGTCCTTCGAGACCAGCTAGCAGGAACCAAACTCCGGACCCTGGTCTGACCCCTGCCTCCCGCCCTCAAACGCCGAGACCAACGCCATCGCCGGTCAAAGGTCAGTTTATCTTTGGCAGACAGTTGTCACCCGTTATGGGGATCACCAAGGAAACTAGATCAGAAAGACATCCATCATTGGTTATTCGGAAACCGCGATGGGCATCATTTGTGGCATAAAGAGTGGTGAAAAGCTATTTTGTTTGAGCGACATTTCTACAGCTTTACAGAGAGCCATTGAAAGCACAAAGACTTGAAGTTTCGAAAAAAATATCATTAAAAATAAAACTGCTTCATCAATTTTTTTTTTTTTATTGCTTAGACGGGTGGACGATCTCACAGCCCACTTGGTGTCAAGTGGTTACTGGAACCCATAAACATCTAAAACGTAAATGCGCCACCCACCTTGAGACACAATTTCTAAGGTCTCAGTATAGTTGTTACAACGGCTGCCTCACCCTTTAAACCGAAACGCATTACTGCTTCACGGCAGAAATAGACGGGGCGGTATTACCCACAGAACACTATTTGGTGTTATCTACCCGTACGGACTCACAAGCGGTCCTACCACCAGTAATTACGCAAATTATAATTTTGCGGGTTTAATTTTTATTACACGATGTTATTTGAATGATGTATGGTAAACATAATGGAGGTTCTAGGAGGCAACCGTTGTATTGTAAAAACAAAGACTTAGAACTTATGTTTCGAGGTGGGTGGCGGCATTTACGTTTTAGATGTCCATGGGCTCCAGTAAACCAGGTGAGCTGTAAGCTCGTCCACCCATCTAACCAATAAATAAATAAAAAACGCGTGTCTTATAGTAATCCTTGCCCGATACAGAGACTAATTAATACTATTTTTGGCGTAATACAAGTTTCATCATTTTGCCAATTGATAGCGCTACAGGTGCGATCTATCTATACCTATATACTAATATTATATAGAGGAAATATTTGTTTGTTTGTTTGTATTGAATAGGCTCCGAAACTACTGAACCGATTTAAAAAAATCTTTCACTGTTTGGAAGCTACACTATTCCCGAGCGACATAGGCTATAATCTTTTTTGAAAACATTAGGGATCTTTACTAAACTCCAATAATGTAACCCAATGTGTAAAAAAATTACCTATAATATTGTTTAGCGAAAACTATTGATGATAGAATAAAATAATGTACTACGACTTTGTAGAACACATTATTATTTACAAAAAGTGTCGTGACAGCATATGTCTAGCTATTATAGTTATGCCGCAATAAGTGTTCTTTTATTTAAAAAAATAAAACAACGTCAAATATCGTTGAAATTTTTGTTAAATACCCGAGCGGAGCCGGAGCGGGCCTCTAGTTTTTATATAAAGTAACATATATTGTTCATATGTGACACAGCGGAGCCTCCACCGGAGCCGGCAACAGCGCCAGTGGTTCCCAACCAGGACACGGTTATAGAAATAAATGCGGCCAACGAAGTATTAGGAGTCGTCCTGCTTGGTGGGAGCGACACATTAATTAACGTAAGTTTAAGACTCCAATAAATATATTAATAAAATAAATTAATTTTGTTGTCGAATATCCTGAAAAGCAGTTGTGATTTGAACAAAAAGCAATAAAACTGAGGAGTATACCTGGTTAAATCTAAAATGAAAATTCAGATATATTATAATATTTAAAAATAATATAAAATTAGCATCGTGACAACATAACCCTATAAATGTTGTTAACGTGTCTACAAAGTGAAAAAAATATATTTATTAGACTGCAGGGTTGCCACTGCTTACTGTAACTATGCATATCACATTCCAGGGTCCGGCAGCCGTAATCTTGGACATATACAAAAACGGAGCCATAGACAAAGACGGAAGGCTGGAGGTCGGTGACCTGATAACCGAATGCAACGGAGTCGCCATCACGAAAGAAATGGCACACGAACGAGTCTGTCTTACCATTAAGCGAAGAGCTCAAAAAGTAGGTATTGCTTTATACATAATGCGACAAATTCAGAGCCAGTGTCTGACATGTTGAGAGGCAGTGTCTGACTGATTGAGAGCCACTGTGTAACAGTTTGAGAACCAGTGTCTGACAGATTGAGAGCCAGTGTGTGACATATTGAGAGCGAGTGTGTGACAGATTGAGAGCCAATATGGAACAGCCCAGAATCTAACACCATAATATTACCGGAGTTCTGTCTTAAATGGAATTTCCTAAGCCACAGTAGCAACTGGCGACTGAAGGGTTCACTGTACTGTGATCCAATTTACTAGGGTTATTGTTGTACCGCACTGGGGTAGTCGCCGCCGTCAATAAAGGGTATCGACCTCATGCGTTAGGGTAGGGGGCGAAATCGCTTCTTTTTAGCATCTTTCATATTATAGCCCCCATGATAGTTTTGAAAAGAAGACAATAACTAAAAATTTAACGATTCTAAAGAAGTTTCACTTCAATATATGTATACTTTTTACTCACAAAAGTTTCATTTTTACCCCCCCCCCCCAAATTACATTTTACCCCAATCTACCCCGGCCGCTGACCTATTGGAACGATTTCAGATAAAGCTGACGGTGCACCGGCCAGAGCCGCTGCAGTTCGAGGAGGTGGAGGTGGAGCTGGCGCGGAAGGCGGGGCGAGCCCTCGGGCTCACGTGCATACCAGCAGCCCGGGGCGCCGCCCTCTACCTAGGGGAACTGGTGAGTCCACACGCGACTCTACCACACGCGACTCTACCACACACGACTCTATACTAGACATGGCGTTCAAAATATCATAATAAGCAATAAAAATACACCCCCGAATATAAAATGGTGCGCGTGAAAGAAGTGAAACTTCTTTTGCGGTGTGTGTAGTATATTGTTGTTTTCTTCATTTTTCATACTTAAATCAAATTTCTCTTGTAATAGGGAATGCTGTGTATAAGAGAAACGATCTCTTCTCCATTTATATATATTTTAAATTTAAGCATATATTTTTTAAATCCTTAATTAAAACTTAAATGGGATAATTAATATGTTACTGCCATCTACAGGAGCAATGCGAAACTAATAAAAAGCCATCTAGTGGCCGATGCCCGTAAACAGAATGTGTTTAAGAGAGATGACCTAGCTCGCTTTCTCCCTCTCTCCACTGCCGAGTGGTTCGCGAGACGCTCTATCTATTTTTTCACTCTCGCTCGTCCTAAATTGTATATTTTCTCTCTAGCCGTAACGAATCTGTCGCCCGTAAAATTTTACTCTCAACGTGCCTAAAGAAGTTTCACTTCGAAAATAGTAATATCGTGAGTTAACAAGAAAGGGAGCTATAGTTAATGTGTGCTGCAGATACCCGGGTCACCGGCGGACTTGGACGGTCGTCTGCAGAAAGGCGACTTCCTCCAGGCGGTGGACGGGAAGGATTTGTCGTCGGCGGACCTCATGACGGCGGCGGCGACCCTCAAACTGTGCGGGAACAAAGCTGTGATCAAAGTGAAGAGATTTAAAATCGTGAGATAATTCGTTAGTTTGAGAAGCGCTGGTTGACTCGTGGCGTATTTGAATCAGTCTGTTCTAATAAAGCTGTTTTATTAGTTTGATTTTAAAAAAAAGAAGTTAATAATGAATACTACAAATTTTACAGATTAATGAATCAGTTTGTTTTAATGTGTATTTTATTTGCGCTAATGAGGTGTAGGACTTTTCGTAACACCCGGTTCTTCGGAGTTCGACATAATCAAAGTAGTCTTAGACATAATCAATACTATGTTTACGGCTTCATTTCGCTTTGTTTTTATTATCATTTATATTATATCGGACGTATCTAATATATGAGTCGACTATTATCAAAGCCGGCAATGTGACTTTTGGATAATTATTGGTAAATCAGAAAAACGAATTATTGACTTTGTATTCCATTGGCAGTCACAAAACTTCTTCTGAACGACATCTTAGATAAATAACAGGTTAAGTATTAACCTTTATTTAATGCAGGTTTTGAACCGTATTCTTTGAAGGAGACGATTATATTCAAATCAATTTGTATTGAAATATCAATAAATTTTTTTTGTCCAAATGCACAGATTGCCACCTTTGATAATAGACGACTCATATTACGGTTTTCGTGATGGCGGACGATAATAATAAATGAGAGATTAAGTCGTAAAAGTGCTTTTAACACGTTGAACGCCATGACGGACACCATGAGTTCCCTAAGGTCTAAGCCGGTGATCGACAACATTGTCAACCAAAAGAGCCAAATCTAAATTTATATAATATCTATATAAAAATATCAAATATCTAAATATATAACACATAACTGAATCCCCTTCATGGTGTTTCCCGAGCGCTATGACATGTCCTTCTTCAAACGAGGCTTGTGGAGAGTATTAAGCGATGTCGCTCCTCGCCAACGCCACATCACCTATTTAAGGAAGCACTCGTTTTCAGAAATATTTATGAACGCAACTTAATCTCAAATGTCAACAATGTCACTGTCATTAACTGTCACAATTTCTTGTTTAGTTTGTTCAATTGTAATAAAAAATAAACATTTAAACATACCTAATACTTAAAAATAATTTGTACTTTATTTTAATACTAGGTATGTACTTTTTTCCTATCTATATATCCTATATATTTCTATCCACTATACTTTATCAGAAAAAAAAGGTGGCAACCTTAGTTGCGGCCCACTGCATTCAATATGGCTTCTAGTCTGGCGTTCAACGTGTTATTTAAGTATTGTAATCATTAGCTTGTAACCAAAATATTTTTTTTTAAATATAATACAAGTTTTACTCGCAAAAAATGTTAGTAAAAGTTTTATAGTTCGTTAACTTTCCTTTGTTTAAAGTAAATAAGCCACACCGGCAATACCTACTGAGTTATAGTTCAAATATATTATAAGTATTAGAATCATTTTTCTCTTAAAAAATAGCGGTACTAAGCATTGAGTGAATCTTAGACCAATATAAAACATTAAGTAAATACAAACTTTTGGTGCGACAATCTTCATGTAAAATAATTGATAGGCCAAATTTCATGAAACCGTAAAAATATTTTCATGTTTGTTTCAACTTAGTGACTGACAATAAATCTGTTAATAAACCGAAAAAAAGATATGGCCAATTATAAAAAAAAAAAAAACCTAAACTTTTTGGAGATTTTTTACAGAAACATTTTTATATTTCGAAATGAAAAAAAAACCTTATAAATCGTTTTAATTTACAAAAAAAATATAAATTCAGAGTTATCGAAGTCACTTAAATTATTGTAGTGTAAAATTTAATTAATATAATTAATACAGTATTCGCATCTTAGTTCATAGTTACATACTATTAATTATATTATTGGACTTTTTGGCGGGAACGCGAGGAGTGAAGTTGTGTGATTTGTTTTATTTTGTCTATTTAGTGTTTCTTCAGGTTTAAATGTGTAATAACGGTGGTTTATTAACTGTTTAATATCTGTGAAAGTGCACAAATGTGGGAAAATGAAACAAAGCAGCTGGACACAACTTCTCGGGATCCTCCAAAAAGTCCACTGAAAAAATCTTAGTAAATGACCACCATTTTACTGAGATTATATTTCATTCCATATCATCTCATTTCATTTAATTTCATCCCAGTTGATTAACGTCTCAAATTAATCATTTTCATTTCATTTCACTCCATATTATAATTTTTCATAAAAAATAAGAATATAAATTAAAATAAGACATGACTTAAAGGTCTTAGTTACCAGGTCATAAAATCACTTAAAAAAAAACTATTAATTATTTGAACATTTCGAAATATTCTGAATTAAAGTGTATATTTCATATTTACCAATAAATTGTTATATCAAGTTAATTGAAAATTAATTAGATTGTTTTAATTTGAGCATACTTATTAAAATCAAAATAGGTACTGCAAATGTAAATTGAGAAATAAGTTACTTTATTAAATATTTCTATAATATAATATTTATACACAATCACAATATAATACCAAAATTGACACATAAGAAACGACAGAGAGTTATACACAATAGTATATTTATTTACAAATATATGAATTAGTATTACAATATATATACGCATAATATATTTTATGTTAAAATTTTAATAAGTTTATGAAACAACCACTTAACTCACATTTTTTTAACAGATAGATTATTTAAATTAGATTATAAAATTATTTGTGACACATAAAAAAGTGCTTGTGAAATGTATGACTGTCGAATGTAGTATAATAATATGTAGTATATAATTTATAATTACTTAAAAAAATATTTAATGTGAATAGTTAGATATTTAGAATTTAATAGGCCGGAAGAACCCGTTGTTGGTAGATTAAAATACAATATTATGATTAAAATTTATATTTCTCATCTCATTTCGAAATTGTAAACGATTGGTGACCATCGCTAAGTAAATGAGTATCAATTACATTACAGAACTAAATGGGTTAACTTTTTAAGTTGTATATAATTAATATATTATAAAATAAGTACAGTTTTTTCATAAAAGTATGTTTTTTTTTAAATAAAATAAAATTAGTCATTCATTTAGTGATTTCTAGTCTTAAATAATGACAATTGTATTTATGTAAGTGCCAGAAATACGAATTACATAAAGATCTACAGTTTTAATAAAAAAGAATATAATTAAATTTTAAAAAAATGATTTCGTTCGAACATTTATAATAAATTATTGAATATATTAATAAATTATTAATTAATAAATTATTAATTAAAAATTGTTAATTAATTAATTAATTATTGAATTACACAAATTACACTAGATGTCATTGCTAATAACACTTCTAGACTCAACTACATAATGCACAATGAAATAGTGGAGTCTTCTTTCTAAACCTATTAGTTGAGCTGTGATTTTGTCACTGAACTTCAAACTTTTTGTGTGTTATATTGAAATCTGAATCAATTCTTATTAATTATTGTAATAAATTCCACAGTTTTCAATTCAAATTTGTATTTTGTTATTATAAATCCTAGTTACGGCTAAATAACTAGCCTATCTGTCAATTCGATATGTATTCAAGAGGCACTTATACAAATACAAACATTATTTAAAAAATATTAGCTTAAAGAAATTGCCTTTTAGGTGTCTAGGTTTTTAGGCTTGAATTTGCAATGATAATATTTTTATTCATAAGCAGAATGCTAGAGATATTTATCTAACTAATATTATAATCTGATTAAGTAGGAAAGAAATGAATTGATAAAATTTATAAAAAAAAATATTCGAAATAATCGATTTAGCGTTACGTAATAACATTGTAATTAAATATTAAATAATAATAAAAAAAGTAGTTAACAATTATTATATTTCTTTATTATTTAATAATAAATAAGAATAAAAAAAATCAAGCTTCTATTTAAATTATGTAAACAGTTTAAATAATAATAAAATGGGTTGCGTAGCATAATTCTAAATTGTTGTAAATTGTAAAAAAAATATATCGTTTTCACCCATCAGGGCCTTAACGGACATAATTATAAATAGGTAGTATTTATAGTTAATATTTTAGAATATTTTATTTAGCTAAACTTTAACACCTTTTGTATAGATCGTTTGATATCAAAGTAGGTAGCTTTGAAGATTTGCGCCACATTAACCTCTAAGTTCGTTCGAAATATATATATACGTATTAATTGTATTTATTTTGATAGGTGGCGTATACTAATAGGTATACTACTACTAAGAAAATGCGCCGTTATCGGGGCTGTAATTCTCTGGCAGGTACCAACTATTTAATTGAATACCTAAGCCTAAGACGACAAAGATAAAGATTGTATTAATTGCGCCTCAAAGAATACTCCGTGTTATAATGCGTTTAGGTTTGGATCGGCTGCAGCATACCAAATACCAAGATCGCAAAAACCAAGGTAAAGGTATACCAATACCAATACTAAGAATATGTCAGTGACCTCTATGACCTATTGGAAACAGCTTCGAAGTTCCAAAAGTGGGTCGAATTCTGACAACTTTATAAATTCTTCAATTTTAATTTCACTATTCAATTTAAAGCTCGCGTCGTGGAAATCGTATAAAAATTCTTCTTGGAACTTATTAATTAAGGAAGCCTGTATATTTTTCTAATACGGGCTCAACCAGAAGATATTTTGAGGTTTTTAAAGCTTCGGTAAAATTAAATGTCAAAAAAACCGGAAACGGTTGTTTTAAAAATATTCAATACTAGCTTTTGCCCGCGTCTTCGTCCGCGTGGAATAGTTACTTTGGCATAACGCTAAATTTTACCCGCGACTTCATTTACAGCACTCAGGATTGGAACTTCATTACTGAACCGGTAGATGGCGTTGAAAAAGGTAGATTTTGAGATTTTTTGACAATATTTTAATTTTTCGTAAAAAAAAAATTGTTTTTTTTCTTCATAAAAAGTATCCTATGTTACTTCTAATACCTCCAAGAATATGTGTAAAAAGTTTCATGATGATCGGTTGAGTAGTTTTCGCGTGAAAGCGTAACAAACAAACTTACATTCACATTTATATATTAGTAGGGATTCAGCCCAAAAGCACTCAAAGCTACCTAATTTGATAAAGCTTTTTTAAATTTACCTTATCAGTCTGATGT